CGTCGGGTTGGACAATGCCCTCACGGTTGACCAAAGCATACTCACACCAGAGGCGAAGTTGCAGGTCTTCAGATGCTCATCCCATTTCTTCCGCTCATGTACGTTCACAAGTTGCCGAATCTCCGATTTGATATCCCTAATGCGGGGTTTTCCGGGATCGGCCTGACGAAGGTTGTCACGCTCATCGGCTAGGACAGCCGCTTCTGCAGGAAAATTCGGACGAGGGTCCGAGATGCATCCCGCTGCGATGAAGCGGGCTGCAGCAGCAGTGACAACCCTGCGGAACTTATGTTCACCTACGTGAACGCCGGTTGGTATGGGTAGTGCAGTGAAGGCACTTCCAGTAACATCCGCGAAGCCTTTCCAATCAGCTTTAGAAAAGTTGACATAGGTCCGGTGATCCGCGGAAGCAAAGTTAGCTGGTTAATCAATCGAGATGATTATGGGCAGATGGTCTGATGCTAAAGTCAGCATAAGCATGATACGCTGTTTACCAGACCAGCGTTGACTATTGTTAGGTCTGGTGAGCTGCAGCAGCTACCCATAATCGTGGTGGGTGCGTCGTCGTTCATTGTGCAGAATGTCGAATCGTCTATCTGCTCAGCCAAATGTGTTCCCCTACGATCGTTTGACCGGCTTGAATGCCAAAGATCGTGGTGCGCATTGAAGTTTACCAACTACCACACGGTTTTCCCCTCTGAGGAGCGCACCTATTTCAGGGTGATATCCTGCCGGGCAGCTGGTGGCAGGGGCTATGCATATGTTAAATATTTCGAGCTCGAGATCGCCTGACCGGATAGCAATTCCCTGACATTCTAGGATGGTATCCCTGCGGTCGATGTCTGCTTCGATAAGACGATACTGCACGGTGTGGTGCGTGATGAACGCTAGGCCTCCACCAAAGTCTCGCTCGCGATCTCGACGGTGCACGTTGTATCCGGCGCAATTCGACAGTGTTGAATTGCCGTGCAGCTTCGTCTCTTGGACCGCAGCTATTAATATTCCGTGCCGACCCATGAAGACGGTATCTCCTCGGTCTCGCTCTGAAGTCCGTTACAGTTGAATTGTAAAATCTGCGTGTGCCTAGGGAGACTTATTGGAATGTGGGGTGTTAGTGATGTGTGTTGCCGTGCCGCCACATGCTGTGCTCGCTGCTGCTGAAGCTGTTGCCCTGTGGTGTTAGTGGTCGGCGTCTCAGCTGGGGGTTGCGACCGAGCAGCACAGCATGGGCCCTCATAGTCCCTCGTCCAATCTCGCGTGGTGCGCAGTCTTGAGCATGCCCTAAAGTGACACCAGCCAAGGCAGGTGTTGCACTTGACTGATGGAATATCTTGGACTGGCACACCGTGCAGATGATCGAAGGAGCTAGTTGTTGGCGGTGGCGTGTGGGTGGTGGTGCAGTTGTATTTGTGGTGTAGTCTGTTGTGTCTGTGGTATTGTCTATTGTATTGTGTTGTGGTGCGGTTGTGTTTGTGTTGAGTTGCTCAGGCGGACTCTGTTGTGCCGTGCAGGCAGCTCGATTGGTGCAGCAAGGGGCCACGTACGCAGTGGTCCATTGTCTGTGAGTCGTGAGGCCTGAGCAAACTCGGAAGTGGCTCCACCCATTGCATGTATTGCATCCGACGGAGGTGGAGTTGTGTAATCGTCTCTGGCACACGCAGCAGGTACACGTTTCTGGTCCAGGGTTAGACTCAATGCCAGCCCTGAGCAGGAGTATGCGAAGAAGTAGCCCTATGGACGTACAACTTTTGAGGGATTTCGCCGACCTAAACGGGGTTAGATCGCCGAAACAACAGCCCTTGGTCGGGTAAAACCCGAGTCATTCCGGTTAATTGTCACAGGTATGCACAGTCAATACTGACAGGCGAAAAGCTCGTTTTATTTGCCAATTTCGGTGAAAGTTTCTCTAGAGTGAAACATCTGTTCTTTGTTTACATTTTAATTGTTCTTTTTGACCACCACTGCAACAGACGGGATTTCTTTTAAATAAAATACACCGAAGTGATGGATTACGAAACGCCGGAAAAGTGAATAATCTTATAATAGGAAAATTTATTTCATTTTATTATGAATTCGTGTAGTAACAGGCGTTGAAAATATGAATGCACCACACAAGAGCAGGTGCAGTTTTGTGAAGACCACCCCGAACTGCAAACGTTTAAAAACTGTCCAAAAACTGTCGTCTCGAAGTTCCCTCAGAAGTCTTCTTCTCTTTATAATTTCTTCTTGCTTTACAATAATAGCCGCGAACATAATAATTATTTCGATAGTCACCAACGAACTCTCGCAGACGACAGTCGCTTTTTTCGTTCCGCCGTGATATTGAAAGCTTTCTCTCTGTTTGCGGTTAATAAACGGTCGCTTTTGTACAGTTATTTTTTCCTGTTATTTTCGGTCGCTTGTTTTAACTTTTAACCACACACCTGCATATTAGTGAAACTAATTATTGTCTTTCTTATTCGCCATGGCCCCCGGGGCCACTAAATTCGGCCACAATAGGTACGCGCTCTTGTCTCCGTTACCTAGACCCAAACGAAAAAACTTTGAAACTTCTACGTTGGATATATTTCCGGAACTTCCAATCGCCAAAAATGATGACCCCAGGTTCTTGGTTATAAAAGCCCTGGATGAAAAGAAACCCCTACCAACTCTATCCTGTTTTGCTATCTACAAAGGTATTCAAGCAATAAGCAAAGAAGTCAACATCACTGAGCTTCGCGACAGTTCTATGCTGTTACTCGTTAAAAACAAAAAACTTCGCCGACAAATTCCTAGCTGCCAAATCGTTGCCTGGTGTTACAGATGTTACAGTCAAATTACATGAATCTCTCAACTCTGTCAAAGGAACAATATATGCTCCTTTCATCTGTCACTTGTCCGAAGAGGAGATTGTGGAAGGACTTAAGGAAAATGGCGTTAAACCTGCGTTCAAATTCTCCAAGGTCAGCGATGGTTCCCGCAAATATACTGGTGCCATTCTACTAGCTTTTGATAAATACCACCTCCCAGACAAAATTAAAGTTGCTTGGAGAACTTTATCCTTCCGTCTAAACTCCATGCGTTGCAAGGCTTGTCAGATTCTTGGCCTCACCGCAAAAAATTGCCGTAACTCTGCTATTTGTGCCACGTGCAACCTCCCCCCATTCTCCCTCCGAATGAACCAGAATTATGTGCGCCAACTGCCTAACAGATCATCCCTCTTTCTCAAACTCATGTCCTAAATTTATTTATTAGTCATTTGGCCTATATACATTCACGTATATAAATTTGAATTATGTATTGCAAAATTAATATATAATAAAAGTAAAGTTAAAATTAATGCTTAAAATAAGTTAACCTGTTACACTTTTCCTTCTAAGCTATATAATAGTTTATGTATATTTAACTAAGAAAGCATATTCTCGATGCTGTTGGAATGGACGTGATTCCAAGCAGTACCGTAAATATATCACGTACGATATGCGGTCTAAGCGTGTAATTTCCAGAGCCGCCACAACTGGGCGGTTGAAGAGGACTAGTTTCCAAGCCGCCTCTTATAAACTTCTCTACCGGCAGGCGATCTGAATGGACGAAATCCAGAGTCGCGCTATTTTATCGGACGGAAAGGACTAGTTTCCATGCCGACCTTCTTATTTCATATATTATGGGTGATCTGAATTGACTAGATCCAGAGTCATCCAGCTAGTACGGGTGGAAAGGACTAGTTTCCATGCCGGAACTTTCTATCTAATATCCACTGTTTTACAGTGATCAAGTAGCAGCCTTTTGAAGGTACCAACGTTTTCACAATTTTTTATTTGAGCTGGAAGTTCATTGTAACATTTTAATCCCTTATAAAAGATATTCTTCTTATCTATTTCCGTTTTATACAGCGGCAGCCTGAAGCTATTATTTCCCCTGAGTAAATACGAATGGGTTTCACTATTATATCGTAGGATATCACTCAGATAATCTGGAAGTCTACCTTGTTTTATGTTAAACACGAATTTCATAGCGTGATAGAAAATTTGCTGCTTCACGCTCAGCCAGTTTAATTCTGCGATCATTTCCTGTATGGGTGTGTCGTACCGCTTGTTCAAGATAAATCGCATAGCCCTATTTTGCATTTTTTTAAGCTTATCTATTTGTGTGTCGCTTGCTATAAAAAATATTGTTGGACAGTATATGAAATGTGGTTCCACTATAGATCTGTAGACCAGAGTCGTATACCTGCTTCCTAAGTACTTACATGATCTTTTCATGAGACCAATTTTTTTTTGCAATTTTTGCTACTGTGTAGTCAATATGTTCCTCAAATTTTAACTTTTCACCGATATATATACCTAGATATTTAATGATTCTCACTTTCACAATTACTTCATCTTTAATTTTTAAACTGTAATTATCAGAACTAACGTTAGCTGCTCTAGATATGACCATAAACTTTGTCTTGTTCACATTTAATTGCAGTCTGTTTACGCACAACCATTTATACAAACAATGAAAGTTTTCTTGCATTTTAATCATTGCATTGGGTAGATTACTGTCACTGAGGGTTAAGAGGGTATCGTCCGCGAACAATTTTACCTTACAGTACTTCAATACTGAGTTTATGTCGTTGATATAAATATAAGAGTATTGGAGCTAATACCGACCCTTGTGGTAGATCAATATCTACTGCTACCTTTGTGGATAGAGCTGTGCCAATCACCGTTTGTTGCTTCCTATCAGAAAGAAAACTACGGAACCATGTAAGTTCGATGTTATCTATACCAATATATTCGAGTTTTTTTAGCATTATTTCCCTGTCGATCGTCTCGAAGGCTCTCTTAAGGTCCACAAACACCGCCAAGATAGTTTTCTTGGAATTCAGGTCCTCCTTCCATTGTGATAAGATCAAGTTTAGCCCTAAAACCTGACTGCTCCTTAATGAATATTTTATTTGACTCAATATAGTTTATTAGTTGATTTTTCACAACCGTTTCCAGTATTTTTTCTAAATTGCGAAGGGTGTTTATTGGCCTGAGTTCCTCCGATTTTATGGTGTTTTTGACCTTTTTTATTGGGACAATGGTCGAAGTTTTCCATTCTGTCGGAACTATTCCCAACTGAAGGCTCTTATTTACTAATAGGGCGTAAAAGTGACCCATGTATTCAACGGAGTCTTTGATTACACCCTCGGATAATAAATTATTTCCACCAATTTTTATCTTGAACTTCATCACTATATGAGTAATATCATCTATTTTCTATGTTGAATCGGATCATAATTAATGTTTTCTATATTCCTATTAATATCGATGATACTATCAACAAAGAAATTGTTTAACTTGTCAGCGATTTCAGTACTATTGCTATATATTTTACCGTTGATTAGAACTTCTTGGATGTTTTCTTTGTGATCTGTATTATTGACAATATTCTTCAAATGTTTCCACATTAAACGACTATCACCCTATTAATTTCCACCTTGTATTCCATATATTGTATTTTTTTAATTCTAAT